CACAAAAGCAGTTCAGCAGTTCTCCAAATGGAAGAGTTCCTGAACAGTGGAGTTCGAAGTGTACTGAGTTGAACCTCAAAACGATGAGCAGTCACAGTCCGTCGCGTATTTCTGACATTTCTGACCGCTCTTGGTAGAATCAAATGTGCCGAGTCACTCGAACACCTCCCGTGAAAGCATCTACAAAAGAGAGAGAAATCTACAACCTTTCTTCGATGTTCCAGTAATGTTCGTGTCTCCAATCAGACTGATGGCTCTTTTCTGTATGGAATCCAGCAGCTTCAGGATATGCATATCTTGAATTGGCATCTTTTTCAAAGTGTAATACTATCCTACTAGTCAAGCCCTGTCTTTTCATATACATATTGAGGTAATTGTGGAACAATATGCAATTTACAATCAACAATATTGAAATATCACACTTTGATAGATTTGTTCACATATACATGAAAACATGTATAACATTTATATTCATACATACGAGCAAACACATTTTCATTTCCTATCAAGAAATTGTTTGATACTATAGTAACATTTGTTTTGCAAATATACTTTCAATTTTGATTTGAACAAGTTTTTATTCCGTTGCTCTCTCAGGTTTACGGAAAGATGATTGAAAAACTTTATATCTCTATATGAGGAGCTTTTTTCATAGAATGATGAGCTGTGTGCAGGAATTCTAATAAGGTCTTCGTTTCTAGTTGGGTAACCATGGCAATGAGAAACTGTTTGATACATCTTATTATGTTGCATAAATAACATTGTACATTTGGAAACATATATACATGGAACTGTTGAAATTTTATAATTTTGAAAATATGGTCGTCACGATTCATCTTGTTTTAGATTGAAAATGAGTCGAATAATTCTTTTTTGGGAAACAAATATTCTGTTTGAGTTACTGGAGCATCCCCATATGTTGATGTTATAGGATATGTTGCAGTAGATTAGAGCATAATACACATTGATTAGTTGATTCGTATTGAACATATTTTTTAATTGCAATATAGCATAGTAACCTGTGTTCACTTTTTTGCTTATGGCATCAATATTATTTTCCCAACTCATTCCAGTATCTATATGAGTTCCAAGGAATTTCGTAACTTCAGAAAGATGAACAGTGCTATTTTTGACAACCACTTGAATATCAGTCACAGATCTCCACCTAGAATGAAAATACATACATACTGTTTTCTCTGCATTCACTATCAAAAAAATCCTTTCACACCAATTCATGAATTCTTCTGCTAAATTATTTAGTTTTTTCTGTAAGTCTTTAGGAATATCTGCATCAATGGCCAATGTAGTATCATTTGCATAGAGAACTACTGAATTTGTACTGATATAGTCAGGTAGATCGTTTATGAATAACAAAAAATAAGCGGTCCCAATATCGATCCCTGAGGAACTCTCTGGTCCATCTCATAATATTCAGATGTATGCACTCCGATTTTAACTGATATTTTTCTGAAGGGCATGTATGACATCATCCATGGAAATATAATTAACTTCAGATTATCTCCAGATCAATAATGTCGAATGCCTTCGATAAGTCGAAGAAAAGTGCTCCCACATATTTCATTTCATCTGGTGAATAGTATATATATTTGAAATAATTGTACAAAGCACTTTCGGTCGACTTACCTTGACAGAAACCATGCTGATATTTTGACAGTATTCGCAATTTGGATAAAAATGAGTTCATTTCATTATGAACACATCTTTCAAATACCTTCCCGATAATGGTGGGAATTGTTATGGGTCGATAGTAACACATACTGGAGGGGTCGCCTTTTTTGAAAATAGGGCTTACTACTCCAATTTTGAGAAAATCGGGGAAAACCCTGGATATTGTGTGCTAATGGTTTGGCGATATATTGAGCAATTTTTTTAATGACCTTCGTTGAGATTCATTCTATTACGACAGAATTGGTGTTTTTCATTGAGTTAATCGCATCTATGACATGACAATCTAATACAGGAGAGGAATTAAATGTTTCACTTTTATACATTGTGGTATAATTATAGTGTAGAAACAATTCGTTCAAGCCAGTCTCAACTCCCTACACTGTAGGTTAATGGACTGACACCTATTAGAAAACAACCACTCCCTTACTCCAACGCCCTTCGAGGAATTAGCCAGGGGAGTAGTTGTTTCCTGATAGGTGTCAGTCCATTAACCTACAGTATGTAAGTGATTGAAGCACTTCTTATAAAAATATCTTACATAGCTGCGGATCGGTCTACACAAAGAGAAGTGTAAGAACCTAGCTCACTGCATACAAAATAAGTCTGAAGTAGTGAGAGTACTCACGTTGTGACATTTGAAGAGAATCAAGTGCTTCACAGAATTGAGAGCTACTGATACTATATAGGAAGGCAACATGAATTATAAATTACAATTTCAATCAAAACATAGAGGGATTCAATATCGATGAATTCTGGCTATTTGTATCAAATCACACTTGCAAAAAGAGGTTATTCAATTCGACTAATTGACTTATGATGCCCTGTTTGGAACCGTTGGTGTAGTGATGAATATTACTGGAGTTCTTTCCCAACACCAAATCGTAATTTTTAACACCTCGACAAGTGTTTAGATCACCAAGTGGTCATCTTCAAGAGGAAGATTATAAACTCAATAGTTTAATCTTCCTTTTAAAGATGATCACCTTGTGATCGAAACACGTGTTGAAGTGTTAAAAATAACGATTCGGTATTGGGAAAGAACTCCAGTAATATTCAACTAATTGAAACAAAGCCACGCTCACTATCATTGGAACATAACCGGAAACTATTTGAATGTAGGATCTGCTGTGAGAAACAACCAGAACACTTTGTGCATTGCCTACTCTTCTTCGACATTTACCAGTACCAGGCGAAATGTCAGAGATAAAAATCTGCAGACAATGGCCAATAAGCCTAGAAAATAACTTCAACACATCTACCTAAATCATGCCTATCCATGATAAACAAAGGCCCACGACGGTCTGTTGCAAAAACCAATTTGATTGAGTCGAAATTTAGGACCTTTCAAGAGGAAATGGTTTGGAAATCGCATGAAACCGTGCGTTGAATCATTTTTGCCTCCATGTTGAGCATAAGATACTCAAATCCATTGAATTTGACAGTTTGAATTTTTGTATTATTGTGTAATTTATGATATGTTGTGACTTGAACATCCATTCACCTTTTTGAAATGGAACACCCTGTATTTTTTCATTTGTATGAAAAGTTTCTACATTTCGTGTATAGATCGAATCAGTTTCATTATGAATTTTGTATTGGAAGATATGGTGCAAATCGTCTATGCTTTCGGGGGAAGTGATGGAAACTGCCTCTTTGCATTGAGGATTTACAAAGAGAAGTTCCCCGAAAGAAGACAACCAGATGGAAGGGCATTTCAGGCTCTAAAATCAAGATTAGAAAAAACTGGTAATGTCAATCAAAGAGAAGTTCGAACGTGTCTGCCTTGTAACAAATGAAGAGAATACATTTCAAATTGCTCTTAACCTTGTTGAAAATCCCCATGTGACTATCCGAGACCTGAGTAGGGAATTAGGATTTTCTAAAACCAGCGTGTTTCGAATGCAACGAGCAAGCAAATTTCATCCTTACCACATAAAATTGATGCAAGAGTCATGAGGAAAAGATTTTGAAAAACGTGTTCAATTTTGGCGATGGGGCTTCGGAAAGATCAATCTGGAAAATGTTTTTTTTGTCGATTAACTGTTATTTTCTGATGAAGCGACTTTTCATAAAAATAGAACTGTGAATCGACATAATATGCAATATTACGTAACGGAAAACCCGCATTTTGTTCGTTGCCTGAACAATGAACAGCTTTGGTCACTGAATATTTAGGGTAGAATTTTCAGAAAAAGAGTTATCTGTACGTATTTTTTGGATCGCCATCTCACTAGAAGAGAATATTTAAGATTTCTTCGGAATGAGTTTTTTAATTTATTGAACAAATGGGTTTCTTAAAACTTTGGAGCAGGAAAAAGTCGCAGGGGACCAAATCTGGTGAAGATGGTTTCTAAAGCATGATTATGATGGTGTTTGAGCAAAACCTTGACATTTGATCAAACTTGTCATGCTTTGTTTTTTCTTAGCTCTCCTGAGCTATTCTATTGAAACGATTCAACTTCGATTTTGATTTGATAATTGGTCACCTATTATGACCCTTTCGAGCAAATATGGATCGCTGTTGACAGTCAACAATTCCTTAGCGATGCTCAGACTACGGAGCGTACCATACTAGGAATCGATTTTTAAATTTTAAAACATCGTTGATAAATAACCCACACACGTTTCGACTTCTGAGGATTGTCATCAGTAAGAAAGTGACAGGTGTTTGCGAAAAATAATCACTTGAAGACACGTACTAGCTGCCAAAATGCCTGATACTGAAACCATTTAACTTTCTAACATTATTTATAGGGCACCTTTTTTCTTCTTTGAATTGTGGTTTTCACTTCTACCCAAATATGAAATTATGTCGATGAGAAATAATGTAAAATCAGTCTTGCTTACGAAAAGCCTTCTATTTTTGTAGGTATCTTATAAACTTATCTCGATATGACACTCAAATATGTCGAGTTTTGCAATACTCAGTGTGTTTCCCTGAAAAATCTGTGTTTGTGTGGATACCGAAATGAAATCATGAAAACATTTGAGAATAGGTTATCTTATTCTGCAACAAATATCATTTTCTTTGCCAATCAGTATTGCGTTTTATAATAACCTGCAATAACATTGAAAAAACAGCTAAAAATAATGACTTCTTCATCAAAAATGAATAATAACCAAAAGTTGAAAACGATCCAAGATTGGAAAATATATTTCAATTTGATAATGAATGATTCAAAAATCATCTGGCAAGCTTGACAGACTAAGAAAAAAGTGCATGTTGAAAAATGAGTTGAATGTATTGCCAGTACATTTATTTTCATTATTTTCATAGGCGTTTTATACAAAAACACCTTTTTAATTTCCAGATCTCACAGTAACTTACGACTGAATCTATCTCACAATCAATTACCGTACGCCAATGGCGGCAATGGTACCAGACATATGTCGAGATCGAGCCGAGACCAAAGTACGCAAACACCAGAGAATATCGCCAAAGAAACGAGAAACTTCAAACTCAGATCATTGAAATTGCAGCTGAATCACACAACATCTAATTTCACCAACTTCCGGTAAGTATCACCTACACAGACAATACTGGTAGATCTCTCACACGAATAACATATTTTGAACTTGATCAGAACTCTTCTTTGAATATAGATTCATCACATATTCACGAGTTTTTTCATTGATATTCATGGAGTTTCCAAAACAAATTCTCAAAAATCGAGACATCAAATCAGAAGTGGTATATCCATTTAAAAGTAGTAGTGGAGGAGCGAGTACGGTCCTGTATCACTTACACAATACCTGAATTACGAATCCATCAATCATAAAGACAGAAATCGTTGAGACATTGTTTGACATCAGACATTAACAGCAGACTTTGATTAATAGCAGAAGGCTGTCATCCTTGTTAACTACGCTTACTCAGGGCATATGATTCCCGGACCCATTGATCACTTACCTCATGGTGTGGGGAGTGGTCGTTGGTTGCTGACACGCCCTTCTTAATGTTTCGAGGCTTTGGGGGATTGGGCCTGACCAGCCAAACTTAGGTTTAAAAAAATGTTGAATAGTGCTTGCTATTTTCGACATGAACAAAATATACAGTGATTTCATTCCTAACAACATTGGAAAATGAAAGACCGAGTTCACTTCTCCTTCAACCGAAATCGAACGAACTATTCTTTCAGTAAACTTGAAAAATAGTATATAAAAAAAATAGGTGGAGAGAAAAATAGAAGGAAGAAACAATGAAGGAAATAAACAATGAAGAATATCAAAGATTCGTGAAAGACACTAGATAAAGGTAATTGAATACAAATGGTTAAAAAATATATAAAATGACACGCCCGAGGAAGTCATTGTATGGCGAAACACGTGTTGCGTTTTTGTAAAACTGTCTAGTGAAAATCATACAATAAAGTGTTTTTAGAATACGTTAGTTATGGATTTTCATCAAGTAACGACCGATTCCATCATATATCTCTTTGAGTAACACCAATATATCTACACACCTTCTGATATTATAAATTATCACCTGCTAAGTAGCTACGAGATAAAGTTCAATTTTCTCGACGCCTTCCTTTGTCTAGGTGAGATGCAAAACGATTACTCCGTATAATTAAATTGCATTTCGTTCGCGAGGGAAATATTAATCCTCGCTTAGCGACATTTCGTAGTCAATAAAGAATATCAGTTACTCGAATAGTTCGAGAAGGAATAATGCGAAATGCAAACGGATTGGAATAAGATTCGCAAGCGATTTGTGAGACGAAGTTAGCGAGTTGCATAAGTGATGCAATCGAGTTAGAATAGCTGTAAATCTTCTAGTGATTATGTCCGACTACAAAGGATCAGTTACCATCTCTATAAATGTTATCACGAGAGGAAATACTGATGTTTAATTGGAAACATGCTCTAGCATGTTCATGAAGTTGATTCACAGATTTCCATAGAAGAATCATGATTTTCAAAACAGTTGCACATTGTTTCTATGCACGAAGAGCCAAGGCCAAGAAATAAATAAAATTAATTTTGGATGCTTCATTGATTCTTATCAATGTGATACGTATCATAGAATTCAAGCGAAACTGAAACTATCGCAGCAAACACATATATTCGTATCATTATTCATCTAGAGTTTTTGAAATCATACTTGAACTTTTGTAAATATACATGATTTTGAACATATGTCTTTGAGAAACTTTTTTTACAGAAGAAGGGACAATGGCGGACTATGACAGAACCATCTGGGATGTTCCGGAATGTTCCTGAGCATACCATCACCAATGTTTGGGAATGTTGTGGAATGCTGTTGAACAGTATCGACTGTTTTAGACTAAACTAAAATTGTATAGAAAACAAAACTTCCAGCTTTCATATCAATACAACTTCTTTTTGGTAAGGGACATGCTGATGATAATAATGACAAAAATGTATGTCCTGCTACCCGTGCAAATCTTGGTCGATCAATCATAGTGCAGAATCCACAATATCACGATAGCAAACACATATATTCGTATCATTATTCATCTAGAGTTTTTGAAATCATACTTGAACTTTTGTAAATATACATGATTTTGAACATATGTCTTTGAGAGACAAGCCTGGGAAATCACGCAAAGCCAAGATTCGACATTGGTTGCTTAAGAAGATTTGTCTTGTACTTCCACTGTAGATATATTGAAAGGCAACTAGTTGAAATCAGAGCACAAATTACGGAGCATCAGTGGTGTTAGGAATTGACAGAAGAAAAAAATCATAAATATTTGACACAAACGAGGCTCTACGGGAAATGGAATTCGATCTATGATTTCTCCACGACTCCAACTCAATTGCAACCAATCGCAACCAAAAGTTCTAAAACGAAGCATAACCAGAAATTGTCCAAGAAAATCAATAGAGATTGTGTAAGGGTAGCGAAGGTTCCTCGAGACCCATCAGCAACACCAGTGGATAACCCGATGACTTATAGCTGCGGATCGGTTTACACGGAGAGAAGTGTAAATACCTAGCTCCCTGCATACAAAATACAGGGTGTAACTGAATAAGTGTAAAACATTTGAGGAGGTGATTTCTCATCGAAAAAAAAGATAGGATCTTTGACATAAAGAAACTTCATTGGAGCATCCCTTGTTAAGATACAGCCCCTTAAAGGGGGGTAGGTACATAAAATTTGTATAACAATTTTTTTCACAAGCACTGAAAAAGTTACAATATTTAAATCAACCTGACGTTTTGTACTACCAAAAAGACACTTAGCCAGTAATTTATTTGGTTAGGAGCATAGCGATAAGTCAGAAGTAGTGAGAGTACTCACGTTGTGACATTTGGAGAGAATCAAGTGCTTCATAGAATTGAGAGCCACTGATACTATATAGGAAGGCAACATGAATTAAAAATTACAATTTCAATCAAAATATAGCGGGAATCAATATCCATGAATTCTGGCTATTTGTATCAAATCACACTCGCAAAAAGAGGTCATTCAATTCGACTTATTGAAACAAAACCACGCTCAGTCCATGGCTGCAGACCATGGCCAATAAGCCTAGAAAATAACTTCAACACATCTACCTAAACCATGCTTATCCATGATAAACAATGGCCCACGACGGTCTGTTGCAAAAACCAATTCGATTGAGTCGAAATGTAGGACCTTCCAAGAGGAAATGGTTTGGAAACCGCATGAAACCGTGCGTTGAATCATTTTTGCCTCCATGTTGATTGAGCATAAGATACCCAAATCCATTGAATTTGACGTTCAAGGTTGCTACACAGTTTGAATTTTTGTATTATTGTGTAATTTATGATATGTTTTGACTTGAATAGCCATTCAACTTTTTCAAATGGAACACCCTGTATTTTTTCATTTGTATGAAATGTTTCAACATTTCTCGTGTAGATTGAATCGGTTTCATTATGGTGCAAATCGTCTATGCTTTGGAGGAAAGTGACGGCAACTGCCCCGATGAAGACAACCAGATGGAAGGGCATTTCAGGCTCTAAAAACAAGATTTGAAAAAACTGGTAGTGTCAATCACGAGAAGTTCGAACGTGTCTGCCCTGTAACAAATGAAGAGATCATATTTCAAATTGCTCTTAACCTTGTTGAAAATCCCCATGTGAGTATCCGAGGGAATTAGGATTTTCTCAAACCATCGTGTTTCGAATGTAACGAGCAAGCAAATTTCATCCTTACCACATACAATTGATGCAAGAGTTGAGAGGAAAAGATTTTGAAAAACGTGTTCAATTTTGCCGATGGGGGGCTTCGTAAAGATCAATCTGGAAAATGTTTTTTTGTCGATTTCCTGTTATTTTCTGATGAAGCAACTTTTCATAAAAATGGAACTGTGAGTCGACATAATATGCATTATTACGTAACGGAAAACCCGCATTTTGTTCGTTGCCTGAACAATCAACAGCGTTGGTCACTGAATGTTTGGGGTAGAATTTTTGGAATAAGAGTTATCTTTACGTATTTTTTGGATCGGCATCTCACTAGAAGAAAATATGTAAGATTTCTTCGGCATGAGTTTTTTAATTTATTGAACGGGGTTACGTATGGAACAAGACTTGAAATGTGGCTACAACAAGATGGTATAGTATAGTATACTTCTGATAAAAAATGTAGTGAAATGTTGAAACATTTCATACAAATGAAAAAATACAGGGTGTTCCATTTGATAAAGTTGAATCATGTCTGTTTGAAAATGAATTAAACTTGACTGAGCACCCTATATATTGTTTCCGAAAGTTGAGGGTTCCAAAATTATCATGGTGATGTTGACTAAGTATTCCTTAAAAAATCCACTTAATTGTTGTAGACATGCAGGTGTTGAATTAAAAAGTATTGTCTGCAGAATACGTTGTTCTAGAATAATTTGGCAATGTCACATTATTCTAGATTCAAATTCGAAAAGAAAAATTCCTCAGAAAGATAAAAAAAATATGGAATCGAATAACGTCTTCATATACTGGAGGTTCCATTTAAAATAATTTAACTTTGGTTGGACACGCTCAGCTGAATCATCTAGTATGCGAGAAAATAATTTTGAAATATAATATCTATCGATATGACTGCAAAAAAATTGAGCAGTTCGAAAAATTGTTTCCTCTGATAGCAATGGAGAAGAAACCTTGTTGACTCACCCTGTATGATAGATATGTAGCTACAAGACCAAAATGTTTCTTTCGATTTTTTCATTTGAATTTTTCAATTGCTTCCCACTATGGATGCAATTTTGAAGACGATTTCACGTCAAAATATTGATTTTACTCCCAATGTCGTGACTTTTCAAAACACAGATTAATTCTCAACAATTTTGCTCGAGGTCCAGTATAAAAAAAGGTGACTGTCAAAATGTTTTTGTTTTCTCTCGAATATGAAAAGTGTATTTTCTCCCGTTAATCCCAAAGTTTGAACAGTCCAAGAAGAGGCGGCAACGCGTTGACATTGCAGCTATTAACAGACTACGGGGACGTGACGTCGCAATTAATGTGAACTGCCTAGAATCCAGAATGGACCCGATGCCCGATGGATGAAACACTCCAGATGTAATGG